AGAAGTCTAAAAAATCCAATCTTATCCACATATTAACTAATGCCCAATTTTTGGGATAACAAGAAGATGCGGGAGATGGACTCAACTCCATCAATAAAGTGAACATCTTAAAAGTTGACCCATATTCCCACCCTCTCTCTTTTTTACTAGATCCATTGCTATATTGGGACACCCAATCCCGTTCCAAGGAAAACATTACTGGGAGGTGGATGTTGATGAGGACATTGACTATTGCATTGGCGTGGCTTCTGAAAATGTACCAAGAGACGACTATTTGGGCGCAAGCCATTCCTCCTGGTGTATGAAGCATACCATTACTCCCTCCAGGTACAATTTAATCTTAGCCCTTGCAATGGAACTGCAACCAGCCTGCAAGATTTTATACTGCAACCAGCTTACTCCATGGATTTCCTAAACAGCTGAGTGCACTGAGGGCCACATCAAGGACTACAAATCCCATAACCTCAAATAATGCTGGGAGTTGTACTGCAAAGCCCAAGTTCCCTGTCCATCTTCAGAGAGCAGGAATCATCCTGCTTCTTAAGAAAAGAAATCGGGGCTATTATCACTTGCCTTCTATCTGATGAATCAGGCATAACTTGGCTTGATTCTATTTGGTGAATCAAATGTTCTGAAAGACAACTTATCTTGGGATAAAAGTTTAGCACATTCAGCAATGTAGGAAGTACAGTACAGTAGCTTTGTCACCCAGTCCTTCTCCTGAATTGCTTTAAGCTCAGACCAAAAGTAAATGGGATGTTCAGATCTGTATCTACAGATGCATTTTCTCCTAAAGAGAATTAGTTGTTGAACATCTCAAGGTTGGGAGTACAGATCTGTGTTATGAGATCCTTGCCAGGGAAGTCGTGTGGGCTATCAGAAAATGGGCAACTCTTTCATGAGATGCCAACCCACTTCTTGCTAATAATAACTTGCTAATACCAAGTTATCTTTTAAAGCTTCTGATCTGAAAGTTTCTTTTTCCTTATGTAGCCACATCTACGAATTTCTGAATGATGGGATGACACCGGACATCAAGATCACTGTTCCTCCCCAGAGGATTGGCCTCCTGCTGGACTATGATGAAGGGACTCTGTCGTTTTTTAACACTGATATCATGCAACACTTGTATACCTTCCACACCAGCTTTCAAGATTTTGTGTGTCCCTGTTTTGCAGTGGAAAAGGTTGGCGTGCTCAAGATTCGAAACGGCATTGCAGTACCCCCATTTATTGTTTTGTGATTGAGGATAGCAAAACAGCATTCTTTATATGCAATGTGGCACACTTTCAGCTCCCCCTCCCAACCTTTTCTCTTTCTCCCCAAAACAGTCTGCATTATTTATTTATTAACTTTATTAGTGTGTGAGACAAGACCCTGTTGTGCAAAAAGCAAATGCTGTTTCAAACGTGTCTCTTGCTGTTTATACAGAAAAGCACTTAGCCTAACAGCTTCATTTACACAAATATTAAACTTGGTTAGTGTTAACCTAATGAGTTGTGGGGTTTCTCTTTTGTTTTGTTTTTTGCAACTTGAGTTATTTTGCAAACCCTAACCCTATTTGGCTAGATAATGATTTTGTGTGTTGCACACTCCCAGAAAATAGGTTCAACTAGTAAGCAAAGTAAATATTTTATATGAACTCAGATACACTATTTTTCTTTATACTGTAAAATAAACTTAAATTGGGTTACAGATAAAGCCAGTGGAAACACAGTTAAGGTAGCAAATTGTTGTAAATGTTGCACAGTAGAAATAAATACAGCAGCAGAGAGATGGAAAAAATAAATAATAAGCAATAAAATGGCAAAAGAAGAGATATCTTCCACTGTTTCACCTATTATTCAACTCCTTCTAAAGAAGCAGAAGAGCTCTTGCCTATAGCTGTTTCCTTCTTCCATGGTTCAAATCGATCATGGGATTGTTTTCCAATGGGAAAATGCACATGGGAAAGGGTTAATTCCATGGGTGTCCATAGAATATGGTGGGAAAAAAAAATTCAAGATGGCACCCTGGCAATGTGATCGAAGCTCTCCTATTTTTTATGTGCGTTGCAGCCACGACACATAAAAAACAGGCAGAGCTTCAATCTCACTGTTGTGGCCACCATCTTGACTTTTTTCACCATACCCCTGCAGACACCCCTCTTTAATTCTCTATCAAAACCCTACCCATTTCCCCAGTCTGCTCCTTCTTTGCTTCGCTCTTCAACCATTTGCTAAATACATAGTTTTGCACAGCTTCCCTGTTGCTGATATATATTTACAGTTCTGAGTTGGGGGAAAAACATTAACTTGCATCCATAAAACATCAGATGCCACTGTGAATTTTCAGATCCAGTTCTATCATAAAAGTGTTTATCAAATTCTGTTCTCAAGCAACCTTACACAAGAAACTTCAAGCGTACATCGTTTAATCACAAATAAGCCTCTTCCTTACGTGGTACAATGCTTATATTTATCCAGTGACTTGCTTCTTGCACTAAGTATAATTTGATTTGCCTGGTGTGTGCTTAGCGTGTGAATAGTGAAGTTGACAGGGAACTGCATTTGTCAGCTGGCCTCTGTTTCTAATTTCGAGGGCTGAAGCCAAAGATCACCACTGCAAGGCCATGTTTCAAGCTGCATGAAAATATGGCATCTTGTTGTGTTCACACAATTCAAGAGTAATAAAGCTGGCAGACCTCAAATAATTACAGATAGGCTTTTCCCATCGTCAGTCTAGTGCTCTGTCTTCTGACAAAGCTGCTTAGGGGCTAAGATGGAAAGGGAGAAAGGTATGTGTGTATGGGTACCTGCGTACAGATGAGTTTCATTGTGTGACTCCAGAGAGAGCTGTAGCAACAGAAGAGGGAAAGTGGGTTTTCTGTCCATGCTTTCTTACTAGATGAAGAACCAACTGTTATTAGGGGGGAAAAGTGTTGAGTCTGAGTAAGCTCATTATCATCTCCACAATGGAAGCTTTCATTAGCCAGAATCCTGTTCCCAAGACAAAAAACAAAACTGAGCACAATTGGAGGTCTGAGTAAAGCAGTGATGATTTCTTTGCTTTAGGGTGTCACCAAAAAAGGAGGAGGACAGGAAGGAAGGAAGGAAGGAAGGAAGGAAGGAAGGAAGGAAGGAAGGAAGGAAGGAAGGAAGGAAGGAGGTGAAGACATATTTGGATCATTAGCCACATTATGTATGCCTGCATGCATAGACCTTAATTTATATATGGTTGTGTTGGAGGAAAAAATGGCCTAAGAGCAAATTCAGCCATTTGCATACCACATCACAATCCACATTCACTTTGCAGAAACAATGGGGAAGTTTCTTTCAAGCATCCCCAGCTGCAGTGATCCTGCTTAGAGTGAACCTCTGCAGAGAGCCCGTTGTTAGCCAGCATCTTCCTCCAGCCAGATCTTTTGTAGTGGCTCATGTCACAGCTAGGCGAGGTGCTCTGAAATTCACAAGAGGGTGCTATTGACTGCCTTCCAAGGTGAAGGATCACAGCTGAAAGCAAAGCAACCAACTGCTCCAAACAACAGCATTCCAGATGTGCTTCAGATGCTTGCTTTCTAGATCTGGATTAACCAACTGGATTGGATTGAAAAATGGGTTTTTGTGGTGAACAAGCTTGCCCCATTCCCTAAGCCCTCAGGAGTGAAATCCACATCCTGTCACTTGGGGAATGGCAGGTTTTGGGAACCAGCAAATAGGGCAGCAGGGTCATCTGGGAATGGGGAATTCAAAAAGGTCAAGATGGTGTCCACAACCTTGCCATCAAAGCCTTGTCCCTTTTTTACATGTAAACAGGCAGGGCTTTGATTAAATGGCTGTGGCCACCAATTGGACTTTTTTGACTCCCCCCCCTGCAGACACCCCTTAGAGCAGGGCCAGTTCTTGGGTTGATTGGTTGAATTGGTTATAGATCCTGATTTTAGGATTTCTACTTTCAAAATACATTATGATTTTCTGCAGCTAATACCCAGAGCTGTTCAACAGAAGTCCACAAGGAAGGCACTGCCCTCAATGGAGGAATGGTTGGGGAAGATGATGGAATTTGCAGAGATGGCCAAATTGACCCCCTTGATCAGAGAAAAGATGATATCTATGTTTATTGCTGACTGGAAGCCCCTGATAGGCGTTTTGCATGAAATGGAAAAAAATGAACTTATGACTTATGATTTTGATAATTAGAAAAAAAACAGATAATAGAAAAAAGAGAGTTTGTCTATGCAACCATAGAGTCAGAGGTAATTTTGTATTTTTACTTTTAATTGCCGTAAAGAAGATCGGAAACTACTTCTTTCTATTTTTTCTTTTTGTACTTTTGACTTCTTCCTGTTCTTTTTTCTCTTTTCTTTTTTAACACACACACACAATGTACACACACACACAAACATACATACACATACACCACAAAGAAGAGCATTGTGTCTATGGTCTAAACCGACAGCCTCCCGGAGCTGATTTTTATGCAAATATACTTTACAAACGATGTGGGTTTTTTTTTAATAAGCGATATGCTTCACAGAGAGAGAGAGAGACAGAGAAAGGGATTGAGAGAGATAAATTATACCTTATGTCGCTAAATTCTGAAATGAAAAAAAGATCACAGGACTAGATTCGGATGGGGCTGGATTCCAAGGAGCAATTGTAGCAGATGACTTCCTATCAATGATGCATTGAATCCCTGAACCAGGGAGTAAACATTTGCCTTCCATCTGCAGTGTTGACAAAACTCACCTCCATGTCTAGCACTGAGTGGACATTCTTCCTTCCACCCCCATGGGAGGAAATGGAAATGTCAAAATGCTAATCTGACAAAATCACCTGCATTTTAAATTAAGCTGTATGCAAAATACCTTGAAGTACTTTTTCCTTATCTAAACTATTTTGTGAACAGACAAAATCATTCAGAAACAATGACCTTCTAATACCTATGGAATTTCCCACAAGTATAGATGGCATGTCTATTCCCATAGTTTGTTCTCATACAGTAACAGGAAAAATGGCCTGGAAAAAAAAACAAGAAGTCATCAAATGGGTATTGCAGAAAATAACATGAATAATCTGGATTTTCAAAACTTTCTATGACTAGGATTTAGTAGCCAGGAAGTATTTTTGTCAACTTTGTTGTCTCACCTTTAGCTGTCTAAAAAGAAAATGTATTAACACAATAGTATGTGGAATAATATAAGAGGTAAGATATTATACACATAATTAAATGTATCTTGGTATAGCTACAGTATGTTTATTTGCTCGTCAGCCACAAGTCGTATTTGAAGTCTGGTGACTGGGTGGACAAATGTTTGCCATCTTGACCTTGAACTTTCTTTGTACGTAAGTACCTGATTTCCGCATTGTGCAAACAAGAACAGTAGATGGCAGAATAACCTCGTAGTTCAGATGTTGGACTTTCATGCCAAAGGCCGTGAGTTCTAGGTGCCAAGATTCTTTTAATAAATAAATCAAATGAAGGGAGTTGAGCCACTGAAATCACATGGTTCTATGGAGATCACCCTACTAAATAAAAATATAGAACAGGGTCAGTCTGGAAACAATGTCCAACTCAGTCTACCGAAAGCATTTCTGGAGGGCTGAAGATGATGCTAGACCTCCAGCATTTGCTACCTGCATAATAAACACAATGGGGCAAGTGAATTTTTCTTCCAGTGCCAATAAAAAAATCCCATCCTAGTGAAGCTTTTAAGAGTCTTCCAGTCCATCTCCAGATTCAGTGCTGGAAACTCTGGGTTCCATCACCCCTTAACAACAGCTGGGCAACCTCTGGCTGAAGATCTCCAGCGTGGTGGAGTGAATCATCAGTCCAGTTGCAGTTTCTTTTTTTGCCCTGTTTCTCCCAATATTAAACTGAAATCTACCCTTCTGTAACTTAAGCTTATTAAATTGCACTTTGTCATTCAGGTTTTTTTCTCCAGCGTTTAAAACAAAATTAAAGGAAAATATTGACAACCTTTGACACAATGCACCAGCATAAAGGGTTCCTGCTGAATGTTCCAGCCAGTCTTCTTTCAGTATATTCTATCCCAGTGTTTCTCAACCTTTGGGACTTTTAGAATGGGGGACT